AGTATAGAAGTGTATTATAAAATAAATATAATACCGGGATTGGTCAAGTCCTGCTGTGGGCATTACACTAGCCACCCTTTTTTAAAGAGGGTCTGGGAAGGGATTTTTCCAGCGTTTTTTTCTATTAGCATAGGTACAATTATTTTTTTTCACCTTCCTCACATTGAGTTCAATAATGGCTTTTTTCCATGAATTGCATGATGGGTGATAGGCTATATGGTGCAAATCATTATGTAAGTGTATGATGGCTGTCTAGTGAAGATACTCCATAGAGAAAATATACAGTGTCTGGATAAAAGGCTAAATGGCTTAGAAAAGGATATAAAGATGTATTCATTGAAGGAATGAATGGAGTGTGGGAGTGTGGGTGAAGATTCCAATGACTGGTACAACTGGGAGCCAGCCCCTTTTATTATAGCTTATCTGTGAGGTGGGCATAGATGGCATAGTCCCAGCAATGGATTTGATGGAGAAACCTGGATAGAAATAGAGAGGGAGCTGGTGGAAGCTCTCCTCCTTCCTGCTAATTATGGAATAAACAGGGGGTTACCTGCACTGTACTCTTATCTGCTGGGAGGCCCACACATCTAATAATAAAGTTGCTGTCTGATTAAACTCAAGTTGATCTCCTGCCCTTCCTTTGGTAGGGCCAGAGAACACATTTACAACAACACTACTAATCCTTTGTTTCCTCAGAACAACCAGGAAAGAATGCTGGGCATCTGGAATTTTCATCATCAACCTCTCCAAGAAACTGGATCCCTCTCTTTCCAAAAGAGTGCTTGGGATCCTGAATTGTGAATTTGTGTTTCACAAATGTTCAAAGCTAGTTTTAAGAGATCTGTTCCTATTAGTTATGTGATATCTCGAAGTCTCGGCACCATGTTTTGATCTAGCTGCTCTTTTCAGATGTTCAGAGATTACAGTTGCTTTTGTGGACTGAGGAGGCCTAGACTGTGCTAAATTGTGCCGAACGTTAATCCTTGCAATAGTCTATTGCTCCAAGTGGCATTAGCAAAGTCCATGGCTACAGTTTTGACTGCATGCACGGCTGCACTCACTCCCCACATACATTCTGTACAAAATGAGAGTTGTGAGGTATCCTTTAAAAATTAAGAATTCACTGGTCAATAATATCATAGTGAAGTGTATGTATCAACATATGTAAAGTTATCTGTTCCCCCTTGTATGATGTTGGTAGCACATATTCAAACCCAGTAAGCCCTAATTAAGTAGGGGAGATTAACCAGGTCTATCTTAAACAAAGGAATGTATGATTAACACAATTTACATATAAGTAGTAAATAAACAGGGGCCTTGCAACAGCAGGAAGGAGACAATGCAAACTACATTTCAGCAAACGGGAAGAAGAAAGAGTATGGGAGCACCTTCACCTCAGAGACTCTGTCACTTTCTTTGAATAAACTTTGCTTTGAAGAGTAATTCTCAGAAAAATCCACTTCAAAGGGGAACTGGACTATAAAGTGAGTAGCAAGTTGATCTCTACCTTTTTCACGTTCTTTCATCTAAGATGACAAAGGAACCAGCCCTTGGACTTTGAGAGAGGTTCTGACTTGAGAATTTTATCAACCCTCTACTGGGAACATATGGAAAGCATTTTACCTTGAACGTAGTGATAGAGATGCAGCCATGTTAGTGTGGTCTAGCTGAAACAAAAGATAGAACTATGTAGCACTTTAAAGACTAACAAGATGGTTTATTAGCTGATGAGCTTTCACGGGTCAGATCTGAAGAAGTGGGTCTGACCCTCAAAAGCTCATTGCCTAATATACCATCTTGTTAGTCTTTAAAGTGCAACATAGTTCTGTCTTTTGTTTTACCTTGAACCTAGGTTGGTAAGTCTTAATTACTCAAAAGAGTTTTATCTTTACTCCTCTAGTAATCATTTCTGATTTCAATGCCTTCTACTCACAGTCACTTAAAATTCCCCTCTTTGTAGTTAAATAAACTTATTTTATTCTCTACTATAAATTAAAATAATGCTGTGTTTAAATTGAGTTGTTTGGTATTTCTAATTGAAGTAGCTAACCTCACAGAGGCAAGTGACCTATAATAACTGAATGGTCCAAGAGAGGGCTGAGCAGCACAGAATACACATCTTTGGGGAAGCCTCAGACTAGGAGTGTATTGAAGTCATCCTGCAAGTGGTAACCAAAGCTGGTGGAAGCCAGTGTTGCTCTGCAGACTGGAGCTAGACTAAGATACTGAGGGTTTGACCTGCATGCTGTTTGGCTGTTTATGAGGGGCTAATTCTGGGAGCTGTGACATTATCTGATTATTATATGACCATAAAAACATTGTTGCCACCACTGTTATATAACAAACAAATCTTATGCCAAATATTATTTCTGCAGAGTAAATAACTCAGGGTATGTCTACACTACAAAATTTATTCGAACTAACAGACGTTAGTTCGAATTAACTTTGATAGGCGCTACACTAGTGCTCCGCTAGTTCGAACTTAATTCGAATAGCGGAGCGCTTAGTTCGAACTAGGTAAACCTCATTGTACGAGGACTAAGCCTATTTCGAACTTACTAGTTCAAATTAACGGGTGTGTAGCCCCTTAATTCGAACTAGTGGGAGGCTAGCCCTCCCCAGCTTTCCCTGGTGGCCACTCTGGCCAACACCAGGGAAATTCGTATGCCCCCTTCCTGGCCCCGGATCCCTTAAAGGGGCATGGGCTGGCTAAGGTGCCCGTGCCAGGTGCAAGCCTGCCAGCACCCAGCCAGCAGACCCTGCACCTGGCACGGATCGAGCCACCCCATGACACAGGCACTGCTAGATGCACTCTGATTTTATACACTCATTAAACATTTGCAATTTGTTACAATCCATAACCCACTATTTGTGTCTATACCTACTAATAAATGCAGCAAACACCTACAACTTTCTGCATTATTAGGGAACCTCCAAAGAGATTATCCCAAATATACAGAATAAAGCAAAATTGTCTTACAGAAGCACATCTTTCAAGCAAATGATTTTTGTTGCTCCATTTAAGCAGCTAGTAGTATAATCTTAAGCGGAGCCTAAATCTGTTAGGCTGTGTCTACATAGTAGCATTATTTTAGATAACCGACATTATTCTGAAATAACATATCTTATAGAGAGCTACAGTATTAAACTTGTTTGACACAGGCACTGCTAGATGCACTCTGATTTTATACACTCATTAAACATTTGCAATTTGTTACAATCCATAACCCAGAGTAAGGGAAGTTGGAGGAAGAATGCTCTGACTGGGACTTCCTGCTGCATAGACAGTGCCAAAAGCTGAAATAAGCTGTTTTGACTTAAGCTACACAATAAACATATAGCTTATTTCGGCTTTAAGCCAGCTGTGTGGACATGCCCATAGGGCACATTCAAAGGAAAACTAAACTATGAGATTTCATGCAGCTATTTGGATGTATAAATCTCAAACTCACCTATCTTATTACTTCTAAGTTTCAGCAACCAGTTATTTCAACATAATGTCGAAATGATGTCGAGATGGAGGACTTCTTACTCCAGCTCCTGTAACCCTCAGGAGTAAGGGAAGTTGGAGGAAGAATGCTCTGACTGGGACTTCCTGCTGCATAGACAGTGCCAAAAGCTGAAATAAGCTGTTTTGACTTAAGCTACACAATAAACATATAGCTTATTTTGGCTTTAAGCCAGCTGTGTGGACATGCCCATAGGGCACATTCAAAGGAAAACTAAACTATGAGATTTCATGCAGCTATTTGGATGTATAAATCTCAAACTCACCTATCTTATTACTTCTAAGTTTCAAATGGGTAAAGAAAACACTGAGACACATCTTCCCACATTTCCTAAAGTGGAATTCAGGTACTATAGATAACAATACTCTGCTAAGATACTGCCCAGGATACTCTCTTTTTGTTTTCAGATTTTTCATATACATTAATAAACATATAGAGTGTTATCTTGACTCATTTTGGAATTAAGGACAGAAAAACAGAGGGAGGCTTAAACCAATACGTTAGGAGCGGGATGTTCAGAATAACTCAGTGTTGACCTAAATCTGTTTTCATTTACTTCACTGGGCAGTTAAGCCAACAATGACTGCTTATGAAAACCCTATCCCATAACCAAAATCATAGATCTGGATCTGCTTCATCTCTAATTATTGAATTCTCCTCTGAGATATGTACATTTTTTCTGACTGTATTCATAATTCTGAATATTAACTTCATAGTGAATTACTAAATATACATATCAGACATACTTATAGGCTACGTCTAGACTACATCCCTTTTTCGGAAAAGGAATGTAAATTAGACATATCGCAATTGCTAATTAAGCGGGGATTTAAATCTCCCCCACTTCATTAGCATAAAAATGGCTGCCGCTTTTTTTTGGCACGGACCTTTGTCGGAGAAAAGTGCCAGTCTAATGCTGATTTTTTGAAAAATAAAGCCTTTTCCAAAAGATCCTTTATCCCTCTTGAAATAAGGGATAAGGGATCTTTCGGAAAAGGCTTTATTTTTCGAAAGATCAGCATCTAGACTGGCACTTTTCTCTGACAAAGCTCCGTGCCAAAACAAAGCGGCAGCGATTTTTATGCTAATGAAGCATGGGAGATTTAAATCCCCGCTTCATTAGCAATTGTGATATGTCTAATTTACATTCCTTTTCCGAAAAAGGGATGTAGTCTAGACATAGCCATAAAGTTTAGATGAAGAGAAGAATGTAAAGTAAAAACGCAAAAATCTTAGTCTCAAATATATTGATAAAAACAAACACACATAAGTTGAACCTTTTTTACTTGTACTATGCCAAAAATTAATAGTAAATATTGGTGCAAAATCATGAACCTTAAATAGTTTTTCAAATGTACATCCTACCTTTTCCACTAGAAGGATTTGTTTATTAACTTACTCTTTACCAAAAAAACCCCACATTTTTCTCCTGAGATTTTATTGCTAAGCAATTTTGCAAGTATATGGAAATGAGAATTCAGTTGAAATTACCTTAATAACCAAATCAAATTTCTGGTGCAAATCCCTGTTTATTGGCTTTAGGAGATGGAGTGCAGCTGTTGTAAGATTCATACAGAAGTATTGTGGATAATCCTCAGGAGTCCCTGCAAAAAGATATTGCGGTTTGAAAACATAATTGAGAGAAATAAGTACTCTGATAGCAGCTTTATTTAAATAGTATATTTACTTCACCCATTAACCAAGAAAGGAATAAAGTCAAATTCAGTTAGTACAGGGGTAAACAGTTATGCAGTATATGAGAAAGAAAGAACACATTTGATCAATGGTTAGTGGTCTTGTTCAAAACTAATAAAAACAGAATAATTGATTTTTTAATTTCCAAAACTTTAAAACCAGCTGTCTTCAGAATTTTAAAATAAATGTGGGCATTTATAGTCAGTGTTCATGAAGAGCATCTGACAACACTTGTTAAAATAAAGGTTACAGAAGACAGTTATTGATCATGCCACTAAGTCATCATCACTTTGTAACCTGAAGAGGAGGTTACTCACCTCCTGTAACTAACGTTCTTCAAGATGAGCATCCCTGGGGGTGCTCCACATTAGGTGTTGAGCATCCCAGAGCCTCTGGACAGAGTTTTGCCTAGCAGTGCATCAGGGGGCCGTGCATGTGCAGTGCACCGAGTGCACGGGCTTCCCCTGGAAGCTATGCATATGCGTGCCCCCCTCTTCAGTTCCTTCTCTATCCAGATCCCGGTGCAGGAGTATAATTTACGTATTTGCATTTGTTTTTGTTTCTGAAGTAGAGGGGAGAAAGGGAGGGTAGTGGAGCACCCCCAGAGATGCTCATCTCAAAGAACATCAGTTACTGGAGGTGAGTAACCTTCTCTTCTTCTCTGAGAGGCATCCCTTGTCTGAGAGGCATCCACAGTAGGTGACTACAAGCAATCCCTGTTATGGAGGTAGGGACTTCGGATCGGGTAAGTATGCTGTCTGCAGGACAGCTTTTGCTAGTCTAGTATGCAGTAGAGGACTCGATGCAAGTGAATAATGCTTTGCGAAGGTGTGATCCAAGGACCATGTTGCGGCTGCGCAAATGTCCTCCAGTGGAACTTTTCCCAGGTATGCCACCGAGGTTGCCACTGCTCTTGTAGAGTGCATCCAGATTGAAGCAGGTGAAGGTAAGATATTAAGTGAATAACATGTGGTGATACATTTCGATATCCAATGGAATAGTGTCTGTGATGATATTTTCTTCCCCGTGGTATGGTTTGCAATGGAAATGAACAGCTGTGGAGAGGATCTGAATGGCTTTGTTCTGTTTATGTAAAAGGAGAGAGCTCTTTTGACATTCAGAGTGTGCATCTGTACTTCAAAGGCATTGGCATAAGGCTTTGGGAAAAAAACAGGTTAGCGTATTGTCTGGTTGATGTGAAAGGCTGTACAGACCTTAGGTAAGAATTTTGGGCGCGGATGCATGGACACTCTGTCTTTGAGAAAGATGGTAAAGGGTGGATCGGACATGAGCATGGCCAGTTCACTTACTCTCCGTGCTGAGGTAATTATCACTGGAAAGCCATTTTCTGTATTAAGTGGCACAAGGAACATGTGGCCATAGGTTCAAAGGGTGGTTTTGTTAGTGTTGTTAATACTAGATGGAGGTCCCATGGTTCTCATGGGCATGACACGTCAGGGTATAAGGCTTGAAGAGCCTTCAGAAAGTGTTTGGTTGTGGGATGCGCAAATAAAGTGGTATCATCCACTGGTGCATGGAATGTTATTATTGCTGCTAAGTGCACTCTAATTGAGGCTAATGAGAGGTTGGACTGTTTTAGGTGTAATAAGTATTCCAGGATTACAGGGAGTGGAGTGGTTTGCGGCTATATATTGCGCTTGCTGGCCCAGTGTGTAAAACGGGTCCATTTACTGATGTATGTTTTCCTTGTAGCAGGAGCTCTGCTGTGCAGAAGAACCTCACGGGCTTGCACGGAACACTGGAGCTCTATGCTAGTGAACTGTTGAGGTGCTACGCTTTCAGATGGAGCATCGGGAATTGAGAGTGAGGTGTCCTGATTTGTGGGTGATGAAGGACGTGTGGGACTTGCTGTAGCATGATTGATGGCTTTGTGTCATCCTGAGTTGTTGGGGAAACCAGGGTTGGCGCAGCCAACATGGGGCTATAAGGATGATCTTTGCTTTGTCCCTCCATATCTTTATAATGACTCTGTTGAGGAGGGGAAATGGGGGAAATGCGTATAGCAGTGGTGCATTCCATGTTAGAATCAGAGTGACTCCTAAGGATTGTTTCCCTATGCCCGCTCTGGAGCAATACATCGTGCATTTTCTGTTGGTTCTGGTGTCAAACAGATCTATGATGGGGTAACCCCGTTGGTTGAATATTTTCATCAGGATTGTGTGGTCTATCTCCCATTCATGTTCCTAAGGAAGGACTCTGATTGGGGCATCTGCTGTCATATTGAATGCCCCAGGCACATGGCAAACAGATACGCGGATATCTCATGCTAATGCTCAGTTCCAGAGGGCTATGGCTTCTTTGCACAGAGGCTGCGATTGTGCTCCACCTTGGCGATGTATATAGAACATGCATGCCATATTGTCCATGTAAATGTGGATGTGTATCCCTTTGATTTGAGGGAGCAATTCTTGGCATGCCAGGCAGATAGCTCCGAGTTCTAAAATATTGATATGTAGAGCATGTTCTGCAGCAGACCATAGTCCTTGAGCTGTTCTTCCTTCCATCTGAGCACCCCAGCCCATGAGTGATGCATCTCTGGTGATGAGTATTGTCAGTTCTGTGGATTGGAAGGGTATGCCTATGCTTAGGTTGGACGTTCTTGTCCACCACTTTAGAGATGCCTTGACTGAGCATAGAAGTGTTAGTCTTTTGGTCATTGAATGAATGTGTGATTTGTATTGGGTTCGGAGCCAATCCTGAAGACACCTCATAAAGAGTCGTGCATTGGGCACCACGGGGTTGCAGGAAGCCATATGCCCCAGAAGTTGGAGGCAGTCCAGTACGGTGACTGTAGGCATGTCCTGGAGAGATAGTGCCAGGTGACTGATGCAAGTGGATCTGTCAGCAGAGAGAGAGGCTCTGGCTGTGACAGAGTTGAAGTGTGCTCCAATAAACTGGATGGATTGAAAGGGTGTGAGCATTGATTTGGACTGATTCACCAGGAGTCCGAGAGAGTGAAAGAAGCTTAGGACCATGTGAGTGTGGAAGGACTCTGCTTGGGGCATCTGTTGTCATACTGAAATGGCACTCCTGTCTGGACCTTACTTTGACTAGGAAGTCGTCCAGGTAGGGATATATGTGACCCCTTGTCTTCTGAGATGGGCAGTGACTGCTGCTAACATCTTGGAAAATACTCTCAGAGCTATAGAAAATCTGAAGAGCAGGACTGTATACTGAAAATGGTGTGTACCTAAAGTGAAATGGAGAAAACGTCTGTGAGATGGTCTATTGGATATGTGGAAGTATGTATCCTGTAAGTTGAGATAGGAAAATCAGTTGCCCATCTTCAGAGCTGGGATAACTGTGTTTAGGGTAACCATTCTAAATCTCTGTTTCTTTATGTATCTGTTCAGGGATCTGAGATTCAGGATGGGTCTCCACCCGCCAGTCCTCTTTTCTATGAGGAAATAATGGGAATAAAATCCTGTTCTGTGAAATTGTGGTGGAACTGACTCTGTGGCCCCTAGTTGTACTAGGTGATCTACCTCCTATTGTAATATGACCTTGTGAAATGGGTCCCTGAAGAGGGACGGGGTAGGAGGGTGGAGAGGGCGAAGGGAGAGAAAGGGGACGGTGTACCCTAGTGAGATGGTTAGCAGAATCCATTTATCTGATGTAATTAATTCCCATTGATGTCGGAATGGGAGCAGACAAAAATGAAAAAGTTTGGAAAGATTCTGGAGTTCTGGGGTGGGAGGTCTGGTTTTCGGTCTCTCAACTATAATTTCAAATGTGCTTATTTGATTGTGATGGACGGTTGGAGGTGTTACTCTGGGACTGTGACCTCTGCTGCCTATTTCTACCCCACTGTTGGTAAGAGGGGTATTCTTATCTGTAATATTGGAATGGGGGTTGTGGGTACTTCGGTCTATGATATGGTTGGTACCTATATTGTCCTGCTCTTCTTGCAGGTGTTTGGATCCCTAGAGATCTGAGAATGGCTCTGGAGTCTTTCATGGATTGAAGGACTTCAGTAGTCTTCGTGGAAAAGAGGTTTTCCCCTTCAAAGAGCAAATTTTCTACTGCTGGCTGAAGCTGTTGAGGAAAAGTGGAGGAGTTACACCAAGAGGCTCGCCTCATAGTGACCACTGTTGCTGTAGTTCTTGTGGCTGTGTCTGCTGCATCGAGAGCAGCTTGCAACGCTATATGAGAAATTGTCTGTCCCTCAGAGACAATCTCTTTGAAATGTGATTTTTTACTTTCAGGGAGATCTTCAATAAATGTGTTCAGTCTCATGTAACTGTTGTAATCATATTTACTGAGGAGGGCTGAATAATTTGCTACCCTCATTTGGAGAGTGGCTGAGGCATACACCTTTTTGCCAAATGAGTCTAATCTTTTATTCTCCTTGTCTTATGGGGTTGAGTGATTTTGCTGCTTATTTCTTTGTTGTGCAGCATTCTCCACCAAGGAGTTTGGAGGGGGATGTGTAAAGAGAAATTCAGATCCCCTGGGAGGCACGTAGTACTTTTGATCTGTCTTTTTGCTCGTGGGGGGAAATCGATGCTGGTGTCTGCCATAAAGGTTTTGCAGGTTGTAGGATGGCTAGATTAATAGGAAAAGCAATCTTTGAGGATGTACTCGCTTGGAGGATGTTAGTAAGCTCGTGAGGAGTATCCTGTATTTCCTCTATGGGGATATTTAATTCTTGTGCAACTCTTTTAAATAGGTCTTGGAAGGAAGAGACGTCCTCTGAGGTGTTAGAGGATGGCGGTAGAATTGCTTCCCCCGTATCTGATAATGATGTTGTTTGGGCCACATATTCTGCCGTTGACCTTGGGAATACAGGTTCTCATTAACACTCCTCCGAACGTATCTGTGAGGAGATTCAGTAAAGCGTGAAGGAGGCTTATTGATATGCTTAGTTTTAAATAGTCTCTTTTTGTGC